AATGGCAGTTGGAAATACGAGTAGACGTTAACAGTCACGGTTAAAAGTCTAAAAAAAAAGAGAGAGAGAGAGAAAGAAAACAAACGACAATATGGAAACAAAACAACACTAATAATAAATCACAACGAACGTCGTAAAATATACCGAAAATACGACGACAAATAAAAAGAAAGATGTGGAAAACAACGACAAATGTTGTAAGCGACTACAACTTTAAACAAATCACATAAACTGAAAGACATCAACAAACTAGAAAACGACATCATTAGAAACAACTACGGCAAGGAACGACAGGAACAATATTAAAAGAAGATTTAGAATTCGACAAATCAAACAACAATATGGCAAACGAGACGATTAAAAACGACAAAAAAAAGATAGAGGACATGGTACAAAAAACACATGAGGCTGGTAAAATAAACTGGAAAACAACATGATTTGAAAAACGACAACTGCGACAGTATACTACGTTAATTACAAAATATAAAAAACGACAGCGTTAGCAGACCCCATCAAGTAGAAACCAACCGAAAAAAAAATAGAAAACGACAATATATCTCATAAAAAACGACATGAATATAAGGCCACACTTTTACAACGAATTTCCTAAAATAGTCCATTGCAAAAGGTTGGGCCCATATTAACGGATCAAGCCCAGAAAATAATTTGGCCCACTTATTGGTCCAATAATGCTTCACAAGCCTGCAATATATATCTTCCAAACGACAAAAAAAATTATACGTTAACTTGTGAATTTTATTGCAAACTGAAACTATTCATATCGTATTACAAATTTATCATAAATTTTACAAACAACTCTATTATTTGAGTTTGTAAATTTTAACATAAAATTTCATAAATTATTATATATTCCAGCACGGTACTTGGAATTTTTCTCCCAGCACCTTTAAAATTTCCGTAGAAACATATTAGTAGATGATTAATCAGTTGATCAAAAGGCTCGAAATATAACAAACATAGAGACATTTCCATATTCTGAGATACTATTACAAATTCAGTAATTTGTTACATACAACACTTTATGTCGTTCTAGTATATGAAAATTTTCTACTCTAATTGCATTTTCTAATGCCTATTATTCATAGACCCTATATGCCACCGCCTGTGTACCTAAAAAGTCTAAAAAGGCAACAAGTATCGTAACCTATACTTGTGTGAATCTGGCCCTTAATTTTTCATCGAAAGGCCAACATTGCTGCCTGATTGATCAAGCAAAAAAACCCCTACCGGATGAAAGGCATATAGCCCAAAGAAAAAAAAAAAAAACAAAACAAAACAAAACTTTACGAGTCTCTTAAGATGTCTCGGTTTTTACAAGGCATTTTTGTACAACTTACGACCAATAAATCTCTCTCTATTTCAGCCACACAAAAAAAAATAAAATAAAATAAAATAAAAATAACAACTTACGACCAATAAATCTCTCTCTATTTCAGCCACACAAAAAAAAAATAAAATAAAATAAAATAAAAATCTCTCTGCCCTAAAATGTATAAAGTACAAAGGCTTTTCTTTCTTTTTTTTTTTGTTTGGCTCGTAAAAAAAGTGATTTATTCACAAGCTCTTGGTGTGCAAAACGGATTCCACAGGGGGAAATCATCCCTGGAACAATGAAGCCAGAATAACCAGTAGCCCGAGCCCAAGGCCCAAGGCCCAAGCACAAAGACTTCGGGCTGTCCCAGTCCTCTAGAAAAATTAGATAATTTATTAAAATTAGAAAATTTACTTTTCGAGAGTGCATAAATCTAAATCTTTACCTCTTGTTCTTAATGAATATCAATTTTTTAGTGTAATTATTTAACTAAAAAGATTATAGATTAAAAGTAAATAGTAAAAATCTTAATCCATGCACTTTTAAAGGGCATTTGTCAATATTACCCATCCTAAAAACCTAGTTAAAGAAAAGCAAAGAAAACAAAGAGAAATTTAATGTAACCATCATAAAGTCAAATGTAAATCTCTAATCATGAGCTTGTTCTTTTCACAACTCAAGTTTATTTATTACTGTGTTTTCTTTCACAAAAATTCTGTTGATACTTAAAAAATCGCACGGTACGGATTTGGCCTAAATCTCGCAACAGGACTCAGGATATGCTATGTGGACTCAAGTCACGCTTCGGGGACCTCTACATGGGCTGTGATTTGGTAGGCTAAAGAATGTAAACGGACCAATTTTATCCGGTTTGATTAAACCCTCGGCCCACTTAGGAGGTCTTGGATCTATGAAGAATTTAGAATAATGTGAGTTATGAAGGAAATTAGTAAAAATAATACTAATTACCAAAGCTCAATTTTAATTACTAAAAATCTATTATTATCTAAAATCCTACAAACCTATTGGCCCATTTGTTACACTCAGACGGTAGGAGACAAAACAACTCCTTCTCCATTCCATTTATTTATTTATTTATTTTTACTTATTCTCATCTCTCTTATGAGTCAATGTGCAGCACTCAAGGCAGATATACATCAAAAAAGAAAAACACATTTCTAATAGTATGGTTGCTTTCTTTCAGCTCACCCAAAAGGGCCAAAACAACCAAGTCCACAAAAAATTTTGATTGGCTGCCCCAAAACCCCATTTATTCATCCTTTAGGCAAAGCTTCCTCTGAAAATGAGAAAAGCGCCATCAAAGACCACCAAAAACGTCACTTGACGTAGCAGCCAGCATCAAAGATCAAAATTCAAACTACTTGGAGGGAAGATTTCCCTCCTTTTGGTGCTCCACCTCTTGCTTATAAATACCTATTCATTTCCATATCAAAATCATCCAGATCAAGCCAAGAACACATACAAAAACACTTGGGAAAATGGTTATAAACTTCATGATTTTCTGCTAAGCTCCTCCGAGCAAATGATGTCTGGATGTTCTTCTACTTACAACACACGTCTATCAACACCATAACAAGCCTAAAAATCTTCTCTTTGGTTGGCTACAAAATCTCTTAGTTTTTAGTTTATCAGAATATTCATCTAAGAGTTTCAATCTCTATAATTTCTGGTGGAGTCTCTCTAAAATGAGGTTTTAAGCGCTCTTCTCATTGGAAGTGTCTAAAAATCTAAAGAAAACACACTCCCCATCATAGCTTGATCAAATCATATAAAAACTCTCTTGTCTTCACATCACTTGACATAACAAACAACCTGGTTACCCCATTCCCGTAAACAAATGGCCATGGTTTTGAATCAGAAATTTCCTCCATAAATCGTTTACACTCCTCTTCCACACCATTCGCTCGCCTAGAGGTCGTCATCGGTATTTTACTACAGCTACCATGGAGTCAGAATCACAACGGGTGTCGTCATTGGATATTGCTGTCTTTGGGATCATCCGGGTTTAGCTTCACCCATTCAGGATCAACGTCAATATTACGGCCATTTTCAAAGTCAAAATCTAGCTCAAAATCTTATTGGTCTCTGCCACCCGATGCACACAAACAGCTTGTACCAATCTAAAGAAGCCACGAAGGACACCCTCCACATTGATAGGCCCCGTCAAAAGAGTCTTAACAAATTTAAATTTAACTTTTTTATTATAGTATTTTTTTCACACATACAATTCAAGTTCTCAACTGAGTTGTAAAACAAACATAAAACTTTGCAAGCACCTTCATTGTTCAAGCAAAAAAAAAAAAAAAAGGCACATTCATTGACCACTGACTTCCACTTATTAAAAATGGCAAGATCAACTACTCAGTACTCATCGAATAGCCACCATCTCAGCTTCCATAGCAGAGGAAGCTTGGATATTACAAGTGCAGGCAACAAGAGGTACACTTGTGCTGTCACGAGTAGTACATCCAATTGTAGCCGAATTGTTCCCAAAGGCAGCATCATCGACGTTCAATTTGATAACACCCTCTAAAGGCGGAGACCACATCCAATTGTAGCCAAATTGTTTTTTTTTTTTTTTTCCCCCTTAAGATTTTATTTATTTATTTATTTTTTGAAATGCAATTTAATATAATTAGATAGGAGAATGAAGCGTTACACGAATCATAATTTAAAAAAAAATTTGTAAATATCTAAGATTTGCTAGAGATGAAGACAAAAGGAAAAAAAAGAAAAAAATGCCCTTTTGCAATTATTACAACTATTATGGGCCTGTTTGTTTGCGTTTTCATTTTCGTTTTTCACGGTTTTCAAAACAAAAAAATAAAAACGGATGTTAAAAACGTGTTTGGTGTAATTTTTTTTAAAAAACAAAACCAAAAACGTTTTTGTCTTTTTGTGAAAATCAGAAAACGGAAAAAAGTGTTTTCATTTTCTCGTTTTCGTTTTCTGTTTTCTGAAAAGCGGATTTCACTTTTTTTTTTTTTTCATTTTCTTCCCTCTTTTCTGAAACCGTATTATATATGTTTATTTAATATATTTATTTAATATATTATTATTTAATAGATTCAATAATATTATTTATATAATATATTTAATAATATTATTTATTTAATATATTTAATAATGTTATTTATTTAATATATTATTATTTAATATATTTAATAATATTATTTATTTAATATATTTTTTTTCTCTTTTGCGACTGCGCCCCCCTGCAGTTTCATGTATATAATCATGTTTATTTAATATATTATTATTTAATATATTATTACATGTTTTTAAAAATTAAACCACCAAACGCAGTTTCAATTTTTTTTTAAAACTAAAATCAATCTCTAAATAAAACTATCAAAACGTATTTTCAGAAATAATTCAAAAATAAAACTAAAAATGTTTTCATTTTCATTTTCGTACAGAAAATAAAAACGTTTTGGAATCAATTCTAAACGCACCCTATATGTTTTTATTTTTTTTCTCAGTTATAGATAATATTAACATTTTTGTCTTAAATACTAAGAAGATGTTTGGTGAAGAAATTTATTTTCTAATTTAAATTATAATTCATGAATCGCTATAATATTTTTTCTCATAAAAAATTCATGTAAATAAAAAATAATTCAAATAGCATGGTTTAATCCTCCTAAGTCCCCTAATTTATCAATGAAATGGCTCTTTCTTCCATTACCAGTAGCGTCACTCGCTTCTCAGCTCACCATCTCTCGTCTTCCTCCTCCACTCTTCTCTGCCTCAACCGCATCAATCCAGCATTCATCTGGCTCGTCTCCACTAAGATTCACCACCATCACCATAACCGGAGCTCCAAGAAACTAATGGCTACTTCATCACTACCTCCAGAACAGGCGGCCAAGCAAGAAACAACCACGCCCGCCACGGAGCCGTACGGCTCCTGGAGATCGCCGATCACCGCCGACGTCGTCGCCGGCGCATCCAAGCGCCTCGGGGGAGCCGCCGTCGACGCCCGTGGTCGCCTCATTTGGCTCGAATCCCGCCCCAATGAAGCAGGGTAACAATTTAGGTTTTTTTTTGTTTTGTTTTGTTTTGTTCTCTCCTTTTAATTTCGATTGATTTGGTGATCGAACTTTGTTCAGACGAGCGGTTCTTGTGAGAGAAGCCGAGAAGCCGGGGGATGAGGCGGTCGATATTACGCCCAAGGACTTCGCTGTACGGACGGTGGCTCAGGAGTACGGTGGTGGAGCTTTCACGGTCTCTGGGGATACTGTCGTTTTCGCTAATTACAAGGATCAGAGACTCTACAAGCAGCTCATAGACTCCAAAGGTCAATGGATATCACTCTCATATCATATGCTTTACGCTTTTTTTTTGCAAGTTTTTTCTTTTTTTTTTCTTCCTCAGGCCCTCTCCGCAAATACTAATCAATTGTATATTTATTATCAAAAAATTATTTTTATTAAAAAATATATTTTTATTTTTATTTTAATTCATAATGTTATTTAAAATATTAAATTTATCTTTTTTTATAATCGTTAAACTTTAAAAATTATA